CTGCACAAGCAGGGGTCGTAAAACCTACAGAGCAATTAGATTTCCTGGAGGGTGCATATCCAGCTGGGTTAGTTTGTCAGAGGTCATTCAAAGTTACAACAGGGTTTTTCTTTTCTATGGTATGGCTTCCCTTATGTCAACCTTGTCTTGAGTTGGTATCAAATATAGCTGTATACATTCTAGAATAAAATACGAATACTTCTTTTTAGTGTCTTGGCAATGCATAAACCAACAAGTCTAAAAGTTAACGCTAGATATATTTGACCACATACAAACTATAGTATGGCGAAAATATATGAGAGTCAAAAGTCAAACTTAAAATTAACAACTTGAGAAAGGTTTTTAAATAGGCAGTTCACAGAAAAATAACTCATAAATGACCTATAATTTATGAAATGATGTTCAACCCTGCTCAAAATTATATTAATGCAAATGAAAATAAGATACTATTTTTCATCTATTTCACAAAAATTAACATATTTCATCGCATCAGCTTTGAGGGGTAGAGAAGAGCACTTGAGCGATCTCTATCTATACAAGTTTAAATACTCATATTCTTTGATCCAGCAATTCCACTTTCAAACATATATCCCAGAACTACAATTGTGCGTGCAACCAGACAAGGATGATAATTATAGCATTGTTTGTAATAGAAACATTGTTTGTAATAAAAAACTGGAAATAATGCAAATGATCATTAGTAGAGGGCTGATTAAATAACTAATGATCCATAACACTTTGTACTATTTATTTATTTATTTTTGTGAGGAAGATCAGCCCTGAGCTAACAACCATGCCAATCCTCCTCTTTTTGCTGAGGAAGACTGGCCCTGAGCTAACATCTATTGTCAATCCTCCTCCTTTTTTTTTTTTTTTCCCCAAAGCCCCAGTAGATAGTTGTATGTCATAGCTGCACATCCTTCTAGTTGCTGTATGTGGGACGCGGCCTCAGCATGGCTGGAGATGCGGTGCGTCGGTGCGCGCCAGGGATCCGAACCCAGGCCGCCAGCAGCGGAGCGCGCACCTAACCACTACGCCACCGGGCCGGCCCGTACTTTGTACTATTTAAAAAGTATAGTGAGATCTGCATACTTGGATGTGGAAAAATCCACCAAGGTACACTGTTACACTTAAAAAGAAGAAAGAAGTCAGGGCAGTAAACAATGTGTATATTGTTTCTATTTGTGTACAGCAAAACCCCTGAAAAAGTATACATAGGCAATTTTTGGAAACATGAAGAAATTGTTAAAAATGGATACCTTTGGGAATGGAAGTAAAGATTTTGGGCCAGGAGGAAGGCTTATTTTTCATTGTAATATACTCTTGTATTGCTTGAAAATTTAAAATCATGTATCATTGAAATTACTGAGGAAAAGGCTACTTGAAAAAGCAATGATTTTACATACCTCAGCTGTTCTTCTGATTACAGCATAATGTTTGTGATAATTATACTTTGCTATTAGGAAGATCAAATCATGTTTAATAAAACAAATCGAGTAAGCATGTGAAACATTTGAAAGATGTTTATTTTAAAAAACTCAGTGTGTAAATGACAAAACTTCATTAGAAAAAATTCATGCATTTAGCATACAGCCTGTATGTACTTCACTGTGTCATACTGCTAGGCAAATGTGTTCCTGCACACTCTCTGTAGCATGACGTGCTTTGAGGACTTTGCCTAGTAAAGGTGGCTAGTTGCCCTGTCATCCCAGTGTCTTCAGCCAGTCTACCTTCTTGGTAATGGGCACGCCAAATTTTAGCACCTGGCAGGTAACTGTAAATGAATGAAGAGTGGTTTGAATCTCACAACCACCAGCCCTACCAGTTACCTAAGATGGAGGAAAATAGAGCTATCAGGTTTTGGATAGAACAGTAAATAATACATGAAAGCAGCTACATAAATTAGTGAGACTTAAAAACATATTTTTGTTAACAGTACTGTTAAAAATAAAACCCCAAAATTCAACCGAGTAAATTTGAAGATGTAATTGTCTTTATTCTACAATTCAATCTCCCAGCATCTCACCTAGCAAGCAGAGAGATACTCCGAGGAGATGTACAAAATGGAAAGTTTTTGTAGGAAGGAAGGTGGGGCAAAGAATTTATTAGCAAAAGAAAAGAAAGGATTGTTTCAGGTCTGGTCATCTTATTTTGAGGGGAAGGAAACAGCAGGGATTTTATAGTGCAGATTATCAAGAAATTTCAGATTGACTGTTTTAAAGGTCATATTTCTGGGACGAGTTGAAACTGCAGTTAAGTCTTGGTTTACTGTCATGGTGGACAAATGATTCCATTTTGGGCCTGCTGCCTCTTTTGTAACAGTACTTTACCCAATTAAAATTAAAAATTATACTTCCCAAATGAACTAAAAATTAATTTCCCCAATTATAATTAAAAGTTACATATGCTCATTTTAGAAAGTATAGAGAAGTATAATTTATACTATATTAACAGAAAGACATTTCTCTAAACTATGAACAAAAATGCAGAGTTTCCTCCAATTTTTGTACAGCAGTCCCCCCTTATCTGTGGTTTCGATTTCTGAGCTTTCAGTTACCCACGGCTAACTGCAGTCTGAAAATATTAAATGGAAAATTCCAGAAATAAACAATTCATAAGTTTTAAATTGTATGGCATTCTGAGTAGCATTATGAAATCTCGCACCACCTTGCTCCATCCCACTCAGGATGTGAATCATCCTTTTGTCCAGCCTTAGTCACTTAGTAGCTGCTCAGTTATCAAATCAACTGTCACAGTCTTGCAGTGCTTGTCTTCAAGTAACCCTTATTTTACTTAATAATGGCCCCAAAGTGCAAGAGTAGTGATGCTGGCAATTTGAATACGCCAAAGAGAAGCTATTGTTGTGAATCTCTTACTGTGCCTAATCATAAGTTAAACTTTATCATAGGTATGTATGTATAGGAAAAAACATACTATGTATAGAGTTTGGTACTATTTGAGGTTTCAGGCATCCACTGAGGGTGTTGTAACATTACCTCACTGATAAGGGGGGACTACTGTATTCTGTTCATCATTTTAAGGAGAATATGTGGACAGGGATGGGGAGTTACATATTATTTACTTATATATACATAGAGTATGTGCACAAACATATATAAAAAACTGGAAACATTACCCCTAAGTAAGGAAACTGGGAATCTGGAGAGGTCACACACGTGTGGAAGGCACTGTTTTGACAACTCTTTTCTATAACTTACTTTGTCACATCATGTTTAAAAAAATACAAAAGTACTGTAAATTTTAAAAACACTACAAAAACATTCATATGAATCCCCTAATATTCCTAATTCTTATATAGAAACATGTGAAATAAAAATAAAACCCATTACTAAATCATAAACCAAATAAAAATAATAAGAGCACACAAGAAAGATAATTTCTGGGCTGGCCCCGTGGCTTGGAGGTTAAGTGCGCGCGCTCTGCTACTGGCGGCCCAGGTTTGGATCCTGGGCGCACACGGACGCACCGCTTCTCCGGCCATGCTGAGGCCGCGTCCCACATACAGCAACTAGAAGGATGCGCAGCTATGACATACAACTATCTACTGGGGCTTTGGGGAAAAAAAGGAGGAGGATCGGCAATAGATGTTAGCCCAGAGCTGGTCTTCCTCAGCAAAAAGAGGAGGATTAGCATGGATGTTAGCTCAGCACTGATCTTCCTCACACACACACACAAAAGATAATTTCTACTTAATCAGCCAGATAAAAAAGAAATAAGGATTGAAAGCAGGCACTAGTGGAGGGGAGAGCATAGAATAGAGGAGAGTGAAATGCCTGAAGGGGAGGGAGAGAGGGAGGAAAAGAAATTTTTTTCCATGACACTTGAAAGTTTCCTTCCCCTGAAACTATGAAGGCTCCAAATTTCCAAAATAAGTCTGCTACTTTGATAATATACTGCCAATCCTTTGAGATTTAAGTGATAGAAATTCATGAATAATGGTGACATCAATTGTCACCAGGAAAAGGAGCCTGGATAGCATAGATACTGAGAGAAACTGTTGGAAGGAGATAATGGAAACCTGAAGAGGCTAAGAACTGAAACAAATCAACTTATCACAGATAATAAATCACAGACAACTTTGCTTTCTTTGGTCAGTTTCTTATGGTGTTAAACAAGAGTTGCCTTTTATACCCAGGGATCTTCTAAGCTCTCCTCTTGGGACGTTGCTGGTAGTTTGGTATCTAAGCCAGTTCCTACAGAAGTGCACTGAGCAGAGTAGATGGAGATAGGACTCTTTCTAGGATCATAATCTCTGTGCAGATAAAAGCAGAAGCAGCCGTAACCCAAGGAGCTGTGTAGGTTTTAGGGAGACACGGTATTGGGAATCTTAAAGCTAAGTGTCCCGCAGTTGGCAAGCCATGATGTGTGTGTTTCCTGTTTAGGAAGAAACTGAGCTTTACTAAAATGAAATGAGAGAAAAAAAGCACAAATATTGAGAACCAATCATTCCTCAGAACCGCCTCAGACCTTCTCCACGCACCTTTATTAAATCCAAATGCACATTTAACTTTAGAAAAGTCTAAATAGGCATGTGTCTTATTTTTCTGTTTCCTACTGGAATAATGTTGTAAGCCTGGAAATGCTCTATATCTATTATCTGAAATTTACCGCTCTTCTCCTGTTTTAAGTAAACATCAGGTACTTAGCTAATTAAATGTGATACTCATAGGGTCTTGTTTATAGGAAAGTGTCAACTTGCAGGATGTTGTGTGTAAGTCTCGATAAAATTATGTAGAAGATGACAGTGTACTCTTGTTTCATAGGCTGACCTTGTGATCCTCACCGCCTGAAAATGGCTCAAAACAAAAAATGATCTGAGGGTTGAAACAAGATAAGATCAAATTGATGTCATGGTAATTACATGAAGTACCATTCAATTATTGGATGGAATTTACTGTTGATCCCTTGGCTTAGATGCAGGTGGGAACATGCAGTTTTTATTACTCTGCTAGTATAAAAGATAGGTGAGAACTTTATTAACTGCAGTTACTGAGAAATCACAAGACGAAGCTAAAATCCCTCTTCAGATCCACAATCAACTGCCCTGAACACGTCTTGCAAAAAGTCCAGAGGAAGGTAAGTAATATGAATGAGACAATTTTTGGGATTTTAACTTAGTGAGGAGTAAAGTATTTGAGAATATAGGGGAGCTATGCATAAACCTTAGTAAGAAGAAAGACAGGCATTTACACATTCTCTTTTCAGCACTCATGATTGGATTGGGAGGAAGTCTACAAAACTGTGGTCTGTGATCACAGGCTAAGATGTTATCTAACAGAAGCCAGAAACCAAACGTCTCCTGCTGATACGCATGAGTGTCTATCAGTAACTAAAAATTTTCCTCAAGAAATATTGGATGTCATTTGAAAGGCACTCTTTTGAGTGGCTTCCAAGGGTCAGGCAGAGGGCGAGTAGACATTAGGTATGTTGCTGATATTGTTTTATCACCAGTTTTTAAATGATGCATAATTATATCTTCAAGCTGGCCAGTGATAAAGCAGCTCACTGTTCAGCTTCTGACATTTTTTGGATAGATATTCTTGAGTGGACTTGGATAGCAACACTGAAATCTCTTGAACAACATTGTTTCCGTTTTCTTCTTTCTTAAAACGCTACAAAAATAAGAGTCAGTGGTATTTCTCCAACCGTTACTGATGACCCTGCAATTCTAAATTACTTGCTTAAGTCTAATTGGTTTGTTCCAATGCGAGTTTCTGGAAACTTGCTAACCTTAGTTATATTTGCATCAGCACTAGTTGAAATGGCAGCTGGTTGGGAAATTGAGAGTAGGAAATAAAAGTGCTCGTTTGTCCCTCCTTATTAGTGTTGAAGATCAGGATTTGGGCTCATGGAAGAATTAGGCACTGATCTTATGTGGGTCCCTTGGGAATACAGAGGCTCCATTTCATCTTCACAAGAACTTTTCTTTTATAAGCTCTACAATCCTTTCTCTACTCAAAAGTAAGATATGTTACATTAGAACAGAGGAATATTTTTAAGTTTCTGAAGATGTCTTTTAAATAATTACTTGACTTAACACCAATTCAACTATCCAAAATATTGGTCACCCAAATTGCATTGAAATGCTTTGCTATAGTCTTGAATTATTTTAAAAAGGTAAGAACAATCATTTATGAAAAATGTATGTATTTTCATTTCAACTTTAACTTTGGTCTTGGTTTAAGTTTCTTTTTTTTTTTTTTGCAGTAGTAGAGTTGTTAAAATTTTGAGTCATATTTCTTACCATTTCCTGCTGAAAAGGGTCGCAGGTGAACAATGTTAGAAAAGCAATTGATTATGTTCCAGAACAGATTCTCAGTTTCATTGTATATTTCTTTTTCATGTGGGACTCAAATTTACGTGAAAACTCAAAGTATGACTGGGAAATAGAAACAGTAAAATTAGAAAGTAACGTGCATCTTGTTCAAAAGTAGATCAAGAGAATTTGCTTTCACAGAGAGAAAATGTACAGGAATAATTGATATTTCCATTGAGAAAAGCATGACTTATGTCACCAAACTTCCATTTTTATAGATTGTGAATCCTATAGTAGTTTGCTACCAATTTATAATCCTTGCAAATTATGGTTTTGGTCTGTAACATTTCAGCATTATCTATTGTAATGTTGCACCAAGTAATCCAGTAATTCCTTGGTTCATCAGACTCAGAGATAACATTATAGAAATGCTCTAGCATCCTTATTACACTGAGGTCTGAGAGATAGAGAGAAAGAGAAAGGACTTAGGCTGGACCAGGAGTGGAATCAAGGGCAATATTAGGAATCGGATTAGAAAAGACAGTAATAGGGGGCTAGCCTGGTGGTGTAGCAGTTAAGTGCACGCGCTCTGCTGCGGCGGCCGGGGGTTTGGATCCCGGGCACGTGCTGACGCACCGCTTGGCAAGCCATGCTGTGGCGGCGTGCCGTATAAAGTGGAGGAAGATGGGCAGGGATGTTAGCCCAGGGCCAGTCTTCCTCAAAGACAGTAATAACAGCATGATCCATGGGTGAATCAGTCTCCTAAAGGAGGAAATGGATTAACCCTGTGCCTCTAGGCTACAAGGGTGGTAAAGGTGAAAGGGCACTATTTTAGGATCACATCACTTTTCTGGTGATTTTGGCAAATCCTTTTACTTCTCTGAAGTGTAGGGTTTTTTTTGGTGAGGAAGATTGGCCCTGAGCTAACATCTGTTGCCAATCTTCTTCTTTTTGCTTGGGGAAGATTGTTGCTGAGCTAATATCTGTGCCAATCTTCCTCTATTTTTTTGTATGTGGGATGCTACCATAGCGTGGCTGACTAGTAGTGTAGGTCCGCTCCCGGGATCCAAACCCGAGTCCCCTAGGCCTCCAAACCGAGAGCGTGAGCTTAACAACTACGCCACCAAGCTGGCCCATGAAGTGTAGTCTTCTAGTCTATGAAATAGGTGCTGTAATAATGCTTTCCTCACAGAAATGTAAAGAGAATCATACAAGGGCACGTGTGTGAAAGCCAATGCTTCTCCTCTTTTCCCCAATCCCCACCAATCAGACACTAGTCCCTCTAATTTGATTGGTTATAAATGCCTCTTTATCCAAATGATATGACTTTCTTAAGGCTGTTCTGAAGAAGGTGAAGTCAGATAAATATACATAAAATAAAAAATTACCTGGGCAAGTTATATTTAAGCTGGTACAACATAAAGTTGCTCTAAAAAAAGATGTCAGCATTCTATTTAGGGATCTACCATCTGAAAAAATTATTTAAGAAGTTCGTTGTAAAATGTAAAGACTTGAAGGCAGCATAGTGAAGTGTGGTTCAGAGCTCGGAGTTTGGAATTATAAAGAGACATTCTAAAATCTTGGCTCTGCCGGTGACAAATTTTATGACTTGTATAGGTTATTTCACCTCTAGAATTTCTTTAACTGCCAAAATGAGAATAATACCTCACTGGGCTGTCATGGGTATCGAATATATTTGTGTGTTCAAGGTGCCTAGAAGAATATCTGGCACATACAAGTGCTCAATTAATGGTGGGTATTATTATTATTATTTTTTTTTATTGTGAAAGTTTTGTTGTATATTATTGTTTATCAGTCACCATATAAGTGTATCCCTCCACCCCTTGTGCCCACCCCCCACCCCCCTAGCCCCTGGTAACCACCAAACAGTTGTATCGGTGCTTGTGTTGGTTTATCTTCCACATATGAGTGAAATCATGCCCTGTTTGTCTTTCTCTTTCTGGCTTATCTCACTTAACATAATACCCTCCAGGTCCATCCATTTTGTTGCAAATGGGACGATTTTGTCTGTCTTTATGGCTGAGTAGTATTCCATGGTATATATATACCACATCTTCTTTATCCATTCATCAGTCGAGGGACACTTGGGTTGCTTCCATGTCTTGGCTATAGTGAATAATGCTGCTATGAACATAGGGATGCATAATGGTGGTTATTATTTTTTAACTATAAGCTATTATTATTACCAAATCCAGTATTGCAGATACTGTGTAGAATGCTAACTCCAAAATCTTTTCACATGTTGTTACATTTTCCCTAGTAGAGTAACTGAATATATGTTACGTAGATAACTCCCCACAGAGGAAAAGTACCAGGAGAAAGTAGAGAGGCAAGATATGGGGTCCCATATCTCAGACCCTGGAGGAAGAAATTTTTGTTATAAGAGAGAGCATTTGTTCCATTTATCTATTGCTGTGCATCAAACTACCTGAAAACTTAGTGGGTAAAACAGCAAGTTATTATTATCTCTCAAGGTTCTATAAGAGGACTGGGCTCAGCTGGGCAGTTCTTAACTTGGGTTTCTTATGCATTTGCCTTCAGATAGTGCTGGGGCTGGAGTCATCTGAAGGCTTAACTGGGCGGGCCATCCAGGAGGCTTCTTCACTCATCACTTCTTGGCCTCTTTCTCTGCCTCTATGCGGCATCTCATTCTCCAGGGCCTCTCTGTGTGGCTTAGCCTTCTTATCCTACAGTGGTCTCAGAGCAGTAGCACTTCTCACATGGCAACTGGCTTCTAAGAGAAAGGAAGCAGGAACTGTCATGTCAGTGTAGGGACACAGCCCCAACTGGCCCAGTGTTACTCCTGCCATATTCTATTGGTCTAAGTAGTCATAGGGCCCGCCTAGATCCAATGGGGTACTAACATAGATAGACCTACTTTTTGATATGAGAGTGGCAAGGTCCTACTGCAGAGGGATGTAGGCTGAGCGATACTTTTGTGGCCATCTTTGGGGCATACCACCTGCTGTTGCAGTGAAAACTTAGGGGCAATGAACAACAAGGGAGCTTCTCTTTGCAGCTCCCCTGCTCTCTTTTTATCACAGAAAAAAATGCTGATAAAGTAGGGTGCCAGGATTGAGAAATCTATAGTCTCAGCCTGTCTATCCTTTTATTGAAAGACTTTAAGGCAAATTAAATATGTTTTTATGCTATAGTGCTTTTAAATGGGAATGATACTTGGTGTGTCAAAAGATTGCATGAAAATAGGTCAAATAAACATAAAATATAATGCATAAATTTTTTTTGTGTGTGTGAGGAAGATCAGCCCTGAGCTAACATCCGATGCCAATCCTCCTCTTTTTTGCTGAGGAAGATTGGCCCTGGGCTAACATCCATGCCCATCTTCCTCTACTTTATATGGGATGCCGCCATAGCATGGCTTGACAAGTGGTGCATCAGTGCATGCCCGGGATCCGAACCACAGGCCGCCACAGCAGAGCACCTGCACTTAACCGCTACGCCAGGGCACCCGGCCCTATAACGCACAAATTTCTTTTTTTGTTTTTTTGTGAGGAAGATCGACCTTGAGCTAACATCCGACAATCCTCCTCTTTTTGCTGAAGAAGATTGGCTGTGCGCTAACATCCACGCCCATCTTCCTCCACTGTATATGGGACGCCGCCACAGCATGGCTTGCCAAGCGGTGTGTTGGTGCGCGCCCGGGATCCCAACCAGCAAACCCTGGGCCGCTGCAGTGGAGCGCACGCACTTAACCGCTTGTGCCACAGGGCTGGCCTCTAATGCACAAATTTTAAAAGTTACAAGAAAGGTTTTTATATTACTAGAATAACACTCCATA